TTAAATATTGTTTTAAAAAATGTCCAAATCACTGGCTCTATGGAAAAAAATGATGTTTGAGGGGAATTTTTAAAAACATTATACCACACTTTCAGTTTGTAATAAAAGATATAAGATATTCCATCAGAATTGTAATTCAAGAAAGTGGAACTCCTAAAGAGCAGTTTTATCTATTTAAATGACAAACACTGGGTATTTGAGTGGTAAAGGTTACTAAAAGATTTTGGCATTGTAATCTATCATACCATTGTTATATCTTCTATGAATGATTCATTCCCAATGATATATCATACCTGAACTTCCTATTCAAATGGAATTAAATTTACTGAACATGAATACTTACTTTGGTGGCAAGACATAGATGTTCATCAGATACTATCACTAACAAATTGAAATTATTTTAAAGAAGTAGTAAGATTGATTTCAGTGAGTCTTGACTAAGTGGCTACATCCATTGTTTAATCTGATGATCATTAATTTTTATAACTATTCTTCACATTGAAAACCAAAGCTAAAAGTATAAATTGTTGTAATTTAAATGGTAGAGTGAATCCTTCATAATTAAGAATAACATGAAAAAGAAAAATTTTTATTAGCAAGGTTGAACATTTAATAGTAACTGGAATAGTAAGTGGACTATAAATAAATATTTATATTGGTGTGGCTATAAGAATATTAACTTTATTTGCTGCCTCTGGCTATGTAAAGATTTTAGCTAAAGAACCAAGGCAAAGTGGACCATTTGGCAATTATTCTCTAAATCAGGGTTACAAACTATATGCCTAGAGGGCCCAGGCATATAAATTAAATGAGTGAAGCAGGAAGGAGCTGATGTACCTGCATTTCTTAAAGCTCTGTTAAAAGTGTACAGTTGCCCTTCAGCTCCAGCTGACTGCTTGCTCTGCAGACTTAACATTGATAACTTCTGACTTATAAGTGTTAGCTGAAATGCTTTTAAAATTCTGCATTGCAAAGTTTACCATCAAAATATCTATAGTTCTGCACAGCTCACGCTGGGGATGGAGCCCACAACCCGGGCATGTGCCCTGACCAGGAATCGAACCATGACCTCCTGGTTCATAGGTCGACGTTCAACCATTGAGCCATGCTGGCTGGGCAGGATTCCCTCATTTTTAATAGCCGAATAATATTCCATTGTATATATATATAAAACACAACATCTTTATCCATTCATCTGTTGATGAGCACTTAGTTTCCATATCTTGGCTATTGTAAATAATGCTGCTACGAACATGGGAATGTAAGTATCTTTTAAGTTAGTATTTTCATTTCCTTTGTATATATTCCCAGAAGTGACACTGCTGGATCATATGGTAGTTCTATTTTTAATTTTCTTGAGGATTCTCCATAGTGGCTGTATCAGTTTACAATCCCACCAACAGTGTAAAAGAGTTCCCTTGTTTTACATCCTCACTAGCATTTGCTCTCTTTTTGTCTTTTTGATGATGGCCATCCTAACAGGCTTGAGGTGATATCTCATTGTGGTTTTGAGTTACATTTCCCCAGTGACTAGTGACGTTGAGCACCTTTTCATATCCCTGTTGGCTTTTCATATGTCTTCTTTGAAAAATGTCTGTAAAGGCATTTTGGCCATTTTTACATTGGGTTATTTGTTTTACTTTTTGCTACTGAGGTGTATGGGTTCTTTATATATTTTGGGTATTAACTCCTTGTTAAATATATGTTTGAAATATTTTTTTCCTATTCTATACATTGTCTTTTCACTTTGATTTGTTTCTTTGCTATGCTTAAGCTTTTTAATTTGATGTAGTTACATTTGTTTATTTTGTTGCTTATGCTTTAGGTGTCATATTCAAAAAAATCACTGCCATTTTGTATGGGTTCTTTATATATTTTGGGTATTAACTCCTTGTTAAATATATGTTTGAAATATTTTTTTCCTATTCTATACATTGTCTTTTCACTTTGATTTGTTTCTTTGCTATGCTTAAGCTTTTTAATTTGATGTAGTTACATTTGTTTATTTTGTTGCTTATGCTTTAGGTGTCATATTCAAAAAAATCACTGCCAAGCCCCATGTCAAGGGGCTTTTCTCCTATCTTTTCTTCTAGGAGTTTCACGTCTTATGTTTAAGTCTTTAACCTGTTTCAAGTTAATTTTTGTGAGTTTTGTAAGATAGTGGTCCAGTTTCATTCTTTTACATGTGAATTATCCAATTTTCCCAACACCATTTATTGAAGAGATTCCCCCTCCCCCTCCCCGAGTATTCTTGGTTTCCTTGTCAAATATTAGTTGACTTGTATGATGGGTTTATTTCTGGGCTCTCAGTTATGTTCTATTGATCTGTCTGTCTGTTTTTATGTCAGTACCATACTGTCTTGATTACTATAGCTTTATAGTATAGCTTGCAACCAGGAAGTATAATGGCTTCCGCTTAGTTGTTCTTTCTTAAGATTGCTTTGACTATTCAGGTTTTTTTGTGATTCCATATAAATTTTAGGGTTGTTTTTCCTATTTCTGTAAAAAAATGCCACTGGAATCTTGATAGGGACTGCATTGGACCTATAGGTGGCTTTTTGGTAGTATGGACATTTTTAATTCTCACCTAAGGATATGCTTTTATTGACTTTAGAGAGAGAGGTTGGGAGGAGAGGGAAAGAAGAAAAACATCGCTGTGAGAGAAAAACATTAACAGGTTGTCTCCTGCACATGCCCTGACCAGAGCTGAGCATGGAACCTACAACCTTGGTGTGTGCCCTGACCGGGAATCGAACCTTTCGTTATATGGGATGATACTCCAACCCACTGAGCCACACCAGCCAGGGCCTGCTGTCTTTGTGTTTTGATGTCTTGTGGTATTGGTATACTTTAACTTCTATATTATGCTCTTTTGTGTGATTACTACAGGTTTTTCTTTTGTGGTTACCATGAGGTTCACATAAAACATCTTAAAATTATAGCACCCTTTTTAAAACTAGTAACTTCAGTAGAATACCTAAGCTTTACACTTTTACTTCTCATTCCCTTACATTTTAGGTTATTAATGTTATAATTTACATATTTTTATATTGTGTAACTAATAACAGATTATTGTAGTGATGGTTGTTTTTACTACATTTGTGTTTGAACTTTAAACTAGAGTTGTAAAGGAATTACACACCACCATTACCCTATACAGAATCCAACTCTGACTATGTATTTACCCTTACCAGTGAGTTTTATACTGCCTTCTTATGTTTTTATGATGTTAATTGGTGTCCTTTATTTTCACTCAAAGAACTCCCTTTAGCATTTTTTGTAAGGTGGGTCTCATAGTAATGAATTCCCTCAGCTTTTGTTTGTTTAGAAAAGTCTTTATCCCTCTTTCATTTTTGAAAGGCAGCTTTTCCGGGTAAAGTATTCTTAGTTGACAGTTTTCTTCTCTTTCAGTATTTTGAATATGTCATCACATTCTCTTCTAGCATGAAAAACTTCTGTTGAGAAAACTGTTGAGTCTTATGAGGGGTCTCTGGCATGTAACTTCTCTCTTTTCTCTTGCAGTTTTCAAAATTCTTTTGTTGACTTCTGACAATTTAATTATGAAGTGTTTCTGTGAGGCTCTATTCAGGTTCAACCTATTTGGGATCCTTTGAGCCACTTGGAACTGGATGTTTATTTCTTGCCCCAAATTTAGAAAGTTTTCAGGCATTATTGCTTTAAATACATTGTCTCTTTCCTTTTATCTTTCTCTTCTCCTTCTGGAATTCCCATAACACAAATATTCTTTCATTGTGTCCCATAACTTCTATAGGCTTTCTTGACTCTTTTTCATTCTTTTCCTATTTACTCCTCAGACTGAATAATTTCAATTATCCTATCTTCCAGGTCACTGATTTTTTTTTCTTCTGCATGGTTCAATTAGCTTTTGAAGCTCTCTATTGAATGCTTCAGTTCAGTTACTGTATTTTTCAGCTGCATGATTTCTGTTTGATGTTCTTTGAGGTTTCTATTTCTTTGTTGAAATTCTCATTTTGTTCATAGATTGTTTTCTTAATTTCATTTAGTTTTCTGTCTATGTTATCTTGAAGTTCATTCACTACATGTCATTAAGATGAGTATTCTGAATTCTTTGAGAGTTCATAGATCGCTTTTATTTAGGATCAGTTATTAAAGCTTTATTAATTTCCTTTGTTGGTGTTATATTTACCCAATTTTTCATGAGCCTTGATTCCTTACATTTGTATCTATGCATTTAGGATAGGTGCTTAAAGTTGTCTTTTAAAAATAAATTTATTTAAGCCTATCCACCCCCCTGAAGTGAATAGATTTAAAGGAAATAATTGAGTACATATTAGAACAGGTAGTACACAAACATGGTAGTCATGAGAGGGGTATTAAAATGACTGAAGTTTGAGAGACTAGTCAGTCATAACAGGCCCAAGTCTTTTAATCTATAATCTATGCATACATTATATGCTGCTTAGGCTCTCAGAGGTTACATAACAGGCATAAAATCTTCAACCTATACCAGGCCGTTATAAGACTGATTTTTTCCTAAAAACTATTTTTTAAAAATATGGCAATAACGATCAGTCATTCTCTGTTCTCAAATATGTACTAATTTCCAGCCCCCCAAATTGTTCCTTCTGCTTGGAATGACTGGCTTCCCATCTCTACCTGTTGAAATCCTACAATCCTTCAAAGTCCATGCTAAATGCAATCATGCAATCTCTTTCATGCAACCTTTCCTCATCCTGACATCCGACGGATTTCTCTGCCTTTCACAGTATCAACAGCACCTTCCCTTTCTACTGCGCTTCCCATTACAGTTTTGGTGGTATTCATGATATTTAAATAATTATATTCTTCTACCTAGTAGATTTTAAGCATTTTCATGTGAGAAAAATAAAGAGTATGATTTTTATTCACCTTTATACAACTATAGCACTTAACAAAGTGCCTTATACACAGACTAAGCACATAATTGATATTTGCTGAATTGAATTTAATATTTTAAGCAACGTTCATGTGACACTTACAATTTTGCGCTTGATCATGAAGAGTGGAATTTTTGCATGGAGAGGGGTTGAGGACAGTTCTTTATGAACTGTTGATAAGTACAATCTTCTTTTGATATTCCCTAAATCAGTAATTCTGAAAAAAGAAAGAGAAAAGAAGAGAGAAAGATTTCCATCAAGATAATAACCACGTCTTTGGATAATCATCAAAATGATATAATTTATCATATAGGCTCTTTCCAACAGGGAGATCAAACACAGAATTTAAGAATTGCCTTTTTTTCTCTCAAGAAGTAATAAAATTTCTTCCTTAAATTCAAAGTGCTCACAAGCTTGAATGTATAAATTCACTCAATATGCTAATTTATTTCAGTACTTTATACTAGATTTCCAGTCTTCCAGCCTATGAAAAGAATTCAATTTGTATGAACTGAATAACTGCTAGCCTTTAATAACCATGCTTGTTCCAGCCCCTTAAGTTTGTGTTATCTTGGGACATACTGTCACATACTAAATAAGAAAACATTATGGGTTTCTTTCCCTGAAAATGCACCTGTCATTTTATATAGGCTGTTAGTCTGCTTAGAGACAGACACAAAACACTGACTGTCGGTTTCACTTTCTAAGCACATATCTTCAAACCAGAATTATAATACACAAGTTTATTGCTCACTATTCAGGTCAACCTGCAATGATACCAAGGACGCTGAATTTGAACATCTTTAATAGATTTAGAGAATAGCCATGATCACAAAGATTAGGTTTTCTTCAAATTGATAGGAGCTCATTTTTATGTTCTGCTTCCTCTAGGTCTCAGAGATAACACCGCAGGCTAAAACCTCCAAACCTGTCTCAGGCTGCTGTATTGTAGAATTGATGCTTCCTGAAAGGCTATCTTTTTATTGGAGTATAGTTAATTTCCCCCCTATTTTTAGCAACCTTGTCTACATGTACCAACTGCTAATTTTCTACAATTAGCAATTCCCAAAGGAGAAAACATTTAATTTGAATATTTGTAGTGTAATGAACTATTTTTTAAGTCAACATAGCCTTCTTTTCTACTTTTAAGTGAGTTTATTGGGGTGACACTGGTTAACAAAATTACACAGGTTTTCAGGTGCACAATTCCACAACACATCCTATACCACTACATTAGGGTCACCACACCAAGTCAAGTCTCCTTCCATCACCACTTACCCCCCTATACACTGGCCAACACCTTCCCCAACTCCCTTCCCCCTAGCAATTAACAAACTGGTGTTCGTGTCTATGAGTTTCTATTTTTTGCTCAATCCCTCCACCCCCCGCAAGACCCCACCCTTCGGACAGCTGTTAGCCTGCCTCTATCTATGAGTCTCTCTCTCTTTTGCTTGTTAGTTTTCATTTTGTTCATTAGATTCCACATATGAGTGAAATCATATGATACTTGTCTTTTTCTGACTGGCTTATTTCACTTAGCATAATGCCCTCTAGTTCCATCCATGCTGTCACAAAATATAAGATTTCCTTTTTTTTTTAAATAGCCAAGTAGCATTCCATTGTGTAAATGTACCATAGTTTTTTTTTATCATCCACTTGGCTGTGTCCAAATCTTGGCTATTGTAAATAACATTGCAATGAACATAGGGGTGCACATAATTCTTTCAAATTAGTGTTTTGGGTTTCTTCAGATACATTCTCAGAAGTGGAACAAGTATATCATAAGGCAGTTTTATTTTTAAATTTTTGAGGTAACTTCATATTCCTTTCCACAGTGGCTGCACCAATTTTCATTAACACCAACAGTGCATAAGGGTTCCCTTTACTCCATATCCTCATTAACACTTGTTTGTTGATTGATGATAGCCATTCTGACAGGTGTGTGATGATACCTCATTGTGGTTTTAATTTGTAGTTCTCTGATGACTAGTGATGTTGAGAATCTTTTCATATGTCTATTGGCCATCTGTATGTCTTCTTTGGAGAAGTGTCTATTCAAGCTCTTTGTCCATGTTTAAAATTTGGTTTTTAGTGTTGATTTTGATAAGTTCTTTACAAATTTTAGATATTAACCCTTATTAGATGTATTGGTGAATATGTTCTCTCATTCAGTGGGTTATCTTTTCATTTTGTTAATAGTTTCCCTTGGTGTACAAAAACTTTTTAGTTTGATGTAGTACCATTTATTAATTTTTATTTTGTTTCCCTTACCCAAGGAAATAAAGCAGAAAAAATATTGTTACGAGAAATGTCTGAGATTTTACTGCCTGTTTTCTTCTTGGATTTTTATGGTTTTAAGTTTAACATTAAGTCTTTAATAGATTTTGAGTTTATTCTTATATATGATGTGAGTCAGTCTAGTTTCTTTTTTTTTTTGCACAAATATGTACAATTTTCCCAACAACAGTTATTGTATGTTTTTGACTCCTTCTCAAATATTAATTAACTATAAAGGTATACATTTATTTCTGGGCTCTCTATTCTGTTCCATTGATCTATATGTCTGTTTTTATGTCGGTAGCAAGCTGTTCTGAATACTATGGCCTTGTACTATAGCTTGATATCAGGTAGAGTGATTCCTCCAACTTTGTTCTTCTTTCTCAAGATTGCTTTGGCTATTTGGGGTCTTTTGTGGTTCCATATAAATTTTTGAAATATTTGGTCTAGTTCTGTGAAACACACCATTGGTAGCTTGATTGGAATTGCACTGAATCTATAAATGCTTTGGGTAGTATGGATATTTTAATGATGTTAATTTTTCCTATCCATGAATACGGTATGTGCTTCCACTTATTTGTGTCTTCTTCAATTTCTTTCTTTAGTGTTTTCTACATTTTCGAATACAGGTCGCTTTCATCCTTGGTTAAATTTATTCCTAAAGTATTTTATTCTTTTTGAAGCAATTATGAATGGGATTGTTTTCTTAGTTTCCCTTTCTAATAGTTCATTATTGATGTATAAAAATGCAACTGATTTCTGTATATTTATTTTTGTATCCTTCTATTTTACTGAATTGATTTATCACTTCCAGTAGTTTTCTGGTAGAATCTTTAGGGTTCTCTATATACAGTATCATGTCATCTACAAATAATAACAGTTTTACTTCCTTTCCAATTTGGATACCTTTTATTTTTTCTTCTTGTCTGATTGCTACGGCTAGGACTTCCAGTACTATGTTGAATAAAACTGGTGAAAGTGGACACCCCTGGCTTGTTATTGATTTTAAGGAAAATGCTAGTAGTTTTTACCCATTGAGTATAATGTTGGCTGTGGGTTTGCCATATATGGCTGTTATTACGTTAAGGTGTGTTTCCTCTATTCCCACTCTGCTGAGTTTTTATCATAATCGGGTGCTGGATTTTATCAGGAGCTTTTTCTGCATCTATTGATATGATCATATGGTTTTTATCCTTCATTTTGTTTATGTGGTGTATCACGTTTGTTACTTGTGGATAATGTAGCCATCTTGCATCCCTGAAATAAATCCCACTCGATCATGATGTATTGCTGGATCTAGTTTGCTAATATTTTGTTGAGAATTTTAGCATCTATGTTCATCAGGGAAATTGGCCTATAACAAAGCATTTTCTGTAGCTCTTTCTTTCCCCCCCTGCCCATGTTTCTAATCACATTATTTCCTTCCTCTACGATACTCTACGTATTTTTCTGTAGAAAATTATTACTGAACAATGGTAAGAATAAGTACAGTAAAAATTAGATGAGATAATTTCAGATTATGGCCATAAAGCTAAAAATTCTACCCTACCTGCACTATACAATGCCATAAAGTCATCTAAAAAAGCAACACACTATTTCAATCCACAGAGATAAGGTTTAAAATGTGAAACTACTATGTAGTTTTACACTTAGATGTATATAAATAAATGTAGTATAATATCTGCCCCAAAGCAATGTGCTCAAAGTGGGATGGATATGCATATGGGGCCGAGGGGTGCAACACAACCATTCACTGCAGTGCAGGAAGAAACTACTAAAACTATCTTTCATCCCACCCTTTTAAAATGTTATTTCTGTGCACATTTCAGTACAGTAATACATTTATATAATTTGAGATAAATAAATGTACCTATGTGGTTAGTGTGCTCAAACATTTTAACAATAGAATACAGGGTCAAATATATTTGGAAGGCATTGTCAGAAGTAATTCTATCAGCTCTCTTCTATAAGAAGCTCTGATTATGGAATAGAAGAAAAGACTATATAGAGGTTCTGGAAAGAAAAAGGGGGAAAAGTTTGTTTGATGCATCAAACAAAAAGTTTAGTTGCATCAACCAAAAACTCATTTGAGACACAGTTTTATTAAAGGTTTGCTTTACTTGTAGGAATAAAATTATATAATTTTTATTTGAATTAGGTAAGGATCAAACTCCAAACAGAGAAACATTTGAGTATATACCATTTTCTCAATATATGAAACAATAAGAACATTCATTCATTCATTCATTCATCCATTCACATGTGCAACAAATACCCATTGAACCAGGCAATAACCTGGGAATACAATGCAGAATAAAATAGTAAAAAGAAAGGCAAGGTCCCTATCCTCTTGGAGCTTCTATTCTAGTGGAAAAGGCAAGTGAAAAAGTATAAAGAGACAACATACATGCAAGTATCGTAAGTGCAATGAAGAAAACATGTAAGAGACTAAGCTAGAAAAGATGAAGAAATGACCTACTTCAGACAGGAAAGCCAGCACGGGTAGCACCTAGAAGGTAAGGGAGGGACATGAAGTAGAAAGGGTAGGCAGGAGCCAAGGCATGCAGGGTCTTTATGCCAAGGTAAGGGGTTTATAAATTTATTAGGAGCCCAGTGCACGAATTCATGCACCTTGAAAGGAACTGTGGGCCACGAGGCTGTAGTGGGCACAGGGGCGGGTCGTGGCCCATCCTCTGCGCCCCTGCCTGGACTCTCCCGTCACGGCCACGGGTCCTATCTGCCAGCAGCCCCACTCCCGCTGCTGCCGCTCCCACATGCTGACAGCACCGGCCCCACTCGCACCTGGTGATGGCGCGGAGCGATTGGGGCTGGTGCCAGCAGCAGGTGTGAGCGGGACTGGCACCGTCAGCGGGTATGAGCGGCGGCTGCTGCCCCGATCTCCCCTCAGGAGCAGGGGGAGGTGGAGAAGCCCTCAGGGGC